AATCATTTTTCACCGGTAAATCAAACCGCTCTTATCTATGGGATTTTAGCAAATAGTTCCTGGCACGCGCTGCGGCCCGTTGACGACCGCCCTAATCAACTGCCCGGATGACGAGGGTAGGACTGCGCGGATAAGTGCGCCACTGGTCACTACCCCACCTCCGCACCTAAAGTTAGGGGCGGAGGTGGTGTAGTAGCTATGGTGTCAGTCCAGCTATGATGTTGAGGTTGCTAAACAGAAATATCCCACGAATAATCCATTCTACACCATGTTCAAGTGAGGAACGCAGTAATGCCCTTCTCACCATTCGGGTATGGAGTGTAGGTACCTGGTCCTTTTTCGGATCCACCATATACCATCTGCCAGATCTCTGCTAATTTTCCAACTCAAAAAGTCTTCATCGTTATCTTAGAAGCAAAAGCACTGAAGTAGGTTAGAGTAGATGAGACCTATTACAAAAAAGTGGTCGATACTGAGACACGCTGCTCCTTCACTTTCCTAGCATAATTCTCAAAGCACCCCGAAATTTACAGTCCCCCCCCTCCCCAAAATTTGAGGAGAAAAAGGCGAGAAAGGACGAGTTTGCTTTTTTCATCGAAGCTTGCTCCAAGGCTGTCTTAGGTCTATAGTGTTGTTGTAGTGGAACTTATACAGTTACGCCGCCTAAAGGAACAGAAATGACCCGAATGCTTATCGTCTGAGAAGGGCGGTATAGCCTGCAGTGAACAACTTCGTGCCATTCGTATCGGAAAGTTGTGTGGTTAACGAATTGAGGCGGAAAGTTGCTCTGTGGCGCCTCCCATTTTTGAGTGACTTTAGCTCCAGACATCGCCTTCAAAGCGCGCTTTCCAGCTAAAAGCACAAGTGGTATGATGTGGATGCTCTACTGTCTCTTGTGAGGTCTTCGACTATCGAGTTGATTGAGTTGGGTTGTCGATTGGACTGGTCCCAACACGCGATCTTGTGGCCTTTTAGCCGTACGATTGTTTGAGACTGGAGGGCCCGCATGAAAAGCGTTGCCAACGTCTCCTTTGGAATTTTTCCTCACAGACGCGTCACTCGACAATTTCTCTTCCGTGTTTCTACACCAGCGTCTACGCTCCTAATCGCAGACCGCGCCTTTGAGGATCTAGAAAAGCCTATTGTTATACTCTACACTTCAGTTAATCAAAGCACGAAAGGTGCTGAAGGGTGCAATCTGAGAGAATGACGGGCTTAATGCGGTTTTGCGGAAGCCACAATCCGCCTTACGATCTCAGAGGAGCAGTTCTGCTTCATGTTGTAGAGGCCCACTAGCTCCACGTCTAACATCGTCTAACATAAGATCCAGTACAATCGAGAAAAGAAGCGATCTCGCTACATAGCCTTCCTGGATCCTGAAAAGCTTTTATGGTCCATCGCAGTGTGTCCTTTGGAGGGCGCTCAGGGATCGAAAGGTTGTGGGATGCCTGGTCTCCTCAGTGAAAGACATGTACAGTGGGGCTGAGGCAGCTGTGCGCCCCCCACACAACTTCTTAACGAAGCGGACATCACGGTTGGGGTAACCAAGGGTCAGCCCGTTTCTCTTTCTACCTCTTAAGGTCACGGTACAGAAACATATGAGAGGCTGCTCAAGACCTGTACACTAACGAATTCATGGTGGTAGCGGGCAGCCGAAGAACTTTAGAGCAAGGTCCAATATTTAAGGAGCTGCTGACTGAGAATGATTCTGGCTGAATGTGAAAAAGACCAAGTTGTGAGCCCCGAAGGCTGACGGAACCCGGTGCACAATAGACAGCCATGGGGAACTGTCGAAGAAGTGAAGGCGTTCAAGTATCTGGTAACCATTTTAGCCGCTTACGGTAGGATGTGTCAGGCAGTCAAAGCTCGAATGAAAGCGGCATGGTCCATATAGAGAGTTTATAGAAATTCCCTGAGATCGACGCTCATTCAGGATGCCCAAAGGGATAGGTAAGGTGTACCTTATGGTGATTAGGTCTGCGATGCTTTACGCCAGTGCATGTTGGCCTCAAGCAGGAACCATTTGGAGCAACCACACTCTGTTGAATGAGCATGTTTGCGGTTGAGAGGGCCTGCGTTCGGACATGACTGGATGCAGTGGGAAATGAGGACTTCAGGGCACTCATGTGGATGGTTTCATTCCAGGATTGTAGCTGAGAACTAGATCATGCGCTAATGAAAGCACTGCACTCTGAAGCATAGAGAAACAACATCAACGAGCCCGAAGGAGAGATGGAGGGGCGTCGGCAATGAGGTCTCATTGAGGGCTACGGCAGGAAATACCTTGGATAGGGAAAGGTATAACAAGTGCAGCGGATCCTGCGAAATCAGGTCAGTGGGAAGAATGAAAAAAAAATTGTTCTCAACAGTAAGTTCTCACTCTCCATCCCCCATCACTGAGGACCATATCAGCCCTTAGAGGTCGTCATTAGTTTCTAACACTCACAAGAAGTATTTCCGTCACATCCCCTTTGTCTTTTTTAGAAGAAGGCTACTGCACGCTCACTTGTACAGACGGTGTTTTCCATGTGCGAGGTGAATGGGTCCGCAGCTGCAGTAACGGTTACTCTATCCGCACAAGGCGCAGGAACGGGGGGCTGGAGATTAGATACCCGCATGTTACCTCTATACTGCGCCCGCGCTAGTCTCATTGTGCAGAACTTGCGTCGATACCAATACCCGCAGCGAAGCACGCTCAAAGCGCTAGAGAACAACCCGCAGTGAGGGGCCCAGACAAGTAGGGCGTTTGGCTCAGGGCACAGCGTTCGATGGCTGCCAGCGGGTTTGGTGAGTACGAGCAGACAGCACTCAGTGTTCCACTACTCTCCCCACACCCGGTTCCGTGCGTTTAACGGAGAGAGTGGCACGCTACAGCAGCTGCCAACCAATTCACCTTGCACAAGACAAGGGCCAGGTTCACAGAGGTGAATGGACAGTTGTATACAAATCAGAAAATTTTGAGTTCCTAGTCAAACATGCCCCCCACACATCAACCCAAGGTAAGAAGAAACTTCAAGATTTTCTCATGTATCTAGATCTCTTCAGGCTTGTTCGGCAACAGCGTCACCATGACCAACTCTTTCATAGCAGACTGCCTTTTAGTGGCCTTCATAGTAACCGATTTACCTATTACTACACTATTATTTGGTTTTTATTCGCCAAGCTGGTATTTCCACGTCGATCTCGTCATCAAGAAATTCTCTTCGTTTACGTACAGCTCAAGTCCGCTGGACTTTATTTTGGTGGCAGCTCTTCGTGCTGTCACTCTACTGGCTCTTCGATTCTATGTACAGTGTGCTACTAATGTATGCTGCACGCGTTCGTAAGCGCATCTCTGGGCGCTAGCAACGCAATTTACTGCACATTCGTTGGTGAAAGTTGCTATTTTTTTCCTGAATGGCCCCACGATCTAAGATCATCTCCTGGTGTGTAGGGCTATACGTCGCCTGGTCCAATTTTGGCGGCAGTAATATTTTTTATGCTCTGCTGTTGCATTAACACTCCCGGTCTTTTTGACTACAGTCGTCTCGAAGGAACGGAAGAAAGCAGTGGTAAGTCATCGTTCTATAGGGGTAGTCTCTCGAACAGGACACATCATTGGTTGGGGATTTTGGTCGCGTCCGTGCACCCCTTTCTCCCCAGGAGTAGCTTGATGCAATCCCTCTCATAGTTCCTTCCTGTGGTTCAATCGAATTATCGAGCGGGGCGGCTACATAGCGCATATGAAACGAAGGGAAACCGCGATTGAACCCCATCCTACCCACCGCTTTCTTAGATTTTTCCAGGTTCCTACCACTTTTTCCAGGTTTTCAGAGATTTCCCAAAAACTTTCACACTTTTCCCCAAAATTTTGCTGTCGTGCCGAGGGGGTGAGGGTATATAGCACATGTGAAAAAGGAAAAACCGCGAAAACTAAGCAACCGACAACCGGAAAAGTTTTTCTCAACGCAAATTCTTCCCAAAAGTCAAATAGGACCCCCTCTCCCAACGAAGAGCGAGCACGACCCCCCCCCCTTTATAGCGTCCGTGAAACAAGAAAAAACAAATATCGAAGAAAAATTTCTCCAGACTATTACGACCTCCCCTCCCCGAACGACAAAATACGACCCCCCCCTGTTAGCGAATTCCCAACGATGATGTGCCCTGCTCTCGAATCGTTAATTTTGAGAGCATTCATCAGAGATGTTTTTTGGAATGTTCAGGTGCTGATGATGAAGCAAGCAGAAGAGAAAGTACATGGCGCATCGTCAGCCTTTTGCTTGGCTATTGCCGCGCGCAATGGCCATGGTTCGCAATGGGCTTCATCTTCTTGACTTTATATGCCCTTTGTAAGTTTCAATTTTTTGTACCTGGTCTAAGGAGGAATTACTAGTTTGAAAGGACAGTTTCACTCACTCAAAAGCCAACTCAAAAGATACTGTGCTGAGACTGGGGGACAATATACATTGGGAATCCTTTTGAATTATAGTCCTGCTCGCCCCATGTTCCCCCTTTCGTCGTCCGTTGTCCACCAATTAACGAACATGGTCAGGATCATGCTCTGGGTCATGAAAAAAGTTCTTGTGGTTCCTGATGTACCCATTACAACTGTCGTTTCCTGTAGTATCTTTTTGCGGTTGTTATCAGTTCCTATACCATTTTGAGGCGCATTTCTCCTCTATCAAGTAAATTGGACAGTTTTCGGAACGGTTTTTCTAGAATTTTGAATGGCCAAAACGAATATGAACAAAGGTACCCCTCCATATTTTTCTAACTGCTCTAGCACACCACTCAGCACAAAACTGGCGTTAGAACTAGAACTTTCAGCGGCAGTAGCGGGCTCCCTGCTCGCTGTGGAGTCGCGAGAGTGGGACAGTCTCTAGCATGGGGGCTGGACCTTTTGCATAACGAAGGACGACCATGAACTACTTAAGCGCGAGGGCTGTCTTAAGCTGGTGCAAATCAGCCATTGAAGTCTTCTGATTCATTGGAGCTGCTCATTGTAGCTTCTTATTCACAAAACAGAAAAACTACTCTGCGTTCTTGTTCTGTAATACAATTCACTTGACAGATGTTTGAGGAGGATATTGACCAGAACTGTTTCAGCTAATGTATTTATTCCCGCCTACATTGGTCGTGTATTGGCTAACATAGCCCTGGGTGGAGGCATGCATGCGCTTATACAATCCGTAGCTATTATGAGCTTTCTAGCTCTAGGAAGGTAAGCCTACCATCAAAATACTTGTATTGGCCAGCGTTCAGACATCGCGACGGCAGCGCTTCGGTCGCGCGTTGGACGCGATCGATGCAGTCGAAAGCATGCGCATCGATCGCGTCGAACGCGCGACCGAAGCGCTGCCGCCGGAATCTGAACGCTGTCTTAGATTGAGCAGATAGCAATGCATGTTTGACTAAAAATTTATGGGAAGGAAAACTGAGCATCTCAAATATAGTGAAGCGTTCATTGTCATTATGTTCTTGTTGGATATCTAGGAACAGTAAAGGGCGCAGTTCGACTTGATGAGGGCACGATTTGGAATTTGGTGGGGCGTGTATAGGCCTCTTTGTTGAAACCTGTGAATTCCTGTTATCAAAGTGGCTCACTTGCACCGCTTCGTGTTTCAAAAGACTACAGTTGCACTATAGTGAAGCTTTTTTGGTGAGATCTGGCACTTAAAGGCACAAGGCGGTTAATTTGGCACTCGGACTGAAATTGTTGCGGGCGTGCTATGTAGTGAGAAAATAACGAAAAAGCTAAGTGAAACAGTCAAAAACTTGCTAAGGAAGCCTTTCCTGTGCACCTTCAGAAAGTAAATTCGGGCCAGTCTCCCGTTGGCATCGTGCCAATAACCGCTACGGTAGATACGGCTGCACGTATGTACTCATATATCCATGCAGCACCGCAGCCGCTTCATATCAATCCCTTCGCTTCATATTTTACTTCGCAAATGAAGCAATACGAGCATCGGCACCGTCGTCCATTTGTGGGCGGGTGGGCGCGGTGGAGCATCCGTGTCGGTATGTTGCAGCTTGACAGGGCTCTAGGAGGATCCCTTCCCTGGAAGAGGCGCCCCGCAATGCCCAAAGGCGCCGAATTCTGTCCTGCTAGACGTGTTAATCCTGCACGTGTTGAGTTTCAGTCGTGCCGTTTGTCGGTTGAAATGAATTAATTTGAGCGCCAAGTACTTCCTCCAAGCCGGACACGTACAATAAATTTGTGACTACTTGGAAAATAATGTAACAAAAGGTGGAGCAATACATTTGGGGAAACTCTAGGCATGAAAGTGATTAACTGTGACCTTGTGCGAGGGGTAGCTTGGTTTCCACTCAGGCTGGTTTTTTGTTCGTAATCCTCGATTCGCTTTCAGTGTCGTTTTTGGCGGACTACGAGGTGGCACATTCACCTATGCTACAGCGTTGGTGTCACGGCAAATAAAACTGGACCTTTTTCGGTCACTTGTTCGTCAAGAAATCGCCTTCTTCGACACAACAAAATCTGGTCTGCAGTCATTTTAGTTACTTGTGACTGTTTTTATAATGTAAGAAGACAGGCATCAGTCGCATCATTGTCTGATCACCTCCAGGTGAGACAGTTTCGCGCATCTCGTCCGACTGTCAGGTGATGGCTACGAACATATCAACTCATGTAAATATCTTCTTGCGGAATATGATTATGCTCATCGGTTCACTGTGCGTCATGTTTTACACCTCGTGGGAGTTGACGACGGTGAGTGAAACAATAACTGGAAACTATTTCCTTCAGAAAGGGGGGAGGAGCAATTTTCCAGTTTTCTGTCAACGCTGAGGATTGATACGAACGATGTGTTACGCTGCAAAATTATATCAGTTTCATTTCAAGTAAGCGCATAGCACCGAATGGTTTCATCATTAACCAGTCGGGTCGCCGGCGCGTCTCCTTCTGATACGGCCCGGCTGCGCCGGGCGGGCGCGGCTTCGCCGCGCGTACCTTCTTTCACATATTTCTAGACTCAACTGATATCAGGCTTTTGTTCTGTACTCATGGTTAAAGCTTCTCGACAAATACATCATCCCTGCTATTTTGACTATTACTGAGTATGGAGTGGTACTAAAGTGCGTATGGGCACAGGCGAGAGAATAGCTGGGGAAGGAATGTGTGGCGAAGCCGTGCCCGTCCGGCCAACTTGGGCCGTATCACAGGAGGAGGAGCGCTGGCATCAGCCGCCGAGCCGACTGGAATCTAATACCTATGACGACCGGTGGTTAAGAGTATGGCAGAATACGCGCTAAAACTCAGTAAGAATAAGTACGTCGTGCTCCGCCCACTGGGAGCGGGTTACAACACACCACAGACACACTCAACTCTTGCCATATATCCAACAGTTGAGGTCCTGCACATCTCTGCTTACATGTTGACGGTGTCTGGACCGCTCTGAAACCGTTTTGCAGATTTTTGTCTGGCTCCGCCCACCTCGGAGCAGGCCCCGCCCACAATGTTTGTGCCCCACAATCCTCACCGGCGACCCTCTGCTGACCTTAATCCACTTTTTTCCGGTGTCTGGAGTGTTCTGGAACCGAGCTACAAACTTTTAAAATGAATACCCTGCGATTTAGGGCAAGCTCCGCCCACTGTGGGCGGGTCTCAACACACTTTGAGCGTGCCCAATACTCGCCAGATATTTACATTCTACACTGAGCTTTTTGCGACTTCTAAACACTCTCGCGAACCGGGTTACTGAGTTTTGTGAGAAGCACCGCCCACCTTGAGTACGCCCCGCCCATTTTGGATGTGTCTCCCACAGTTAGTCTGGCAACTCCTTGCTAACCTCATTCCACTTTTTCCCCATCTTTGAGCTGCTCCGGAAGCGAATTATGAACATTTCTCTGCGGAACCCCAAACTTTCGGCGAGTGCCCCGCCCACTTCGCATAGGTCAAGTGTGCTTTTTATTTCTTGTCCCATGCTCTACCCATCCCCACCTTGACCCGACCTCTCCAAGTCGTTCTTCAGGTCGAACCGAATTTCCGGACAGACAAACTTACAAACAAACAAACAAACTTACAAACTTACAAACAAACAAGCAAACAGACGAAGAGAATTATACATATAGGGTGATAGGACGACATTTCCTGTAACGACGACGTAGTCCTCGGTCACTCAGAAAATCCTAGATGCAGAAGGAATTCGTTGAAGAGTTTCTTGAACATTTGTTGGGTAGAACTCACGTAACTACGCTGAGCTTGTGCCTTGCAAAATTATACAGTCTATAAATGGACAGAAAAATCTGGGAATGTTATTAATATTTTGATTTTCATGCAGTTTACCATCAATCTGCGGACGTGTCAGAGGGATTGGTTTGGCGCGACGCTCGCTCCTTTTCTTTATTTCTTTTAGCAAGCGACAAGGCTGTATCATATGGTTAGAATCAACTGTTCTTCACCATTTGTTGTCGTTTATTCTTTTCAGCAACTGGTACAGAACAGGCTAGGACGTACCAAACCCAACCTACCTAACATACCCCTTGAGCGAACAAGATCGTAATCTTTGCGGCGACAGTGTCTCGACGCGGAAAAAAAGGAATAAAAATGTTTTTCTTCGATGCTGATTGGAGGTACGCGTCTGGTTAGGGTTGGTTGTTGGATGGGGCCTACTATCGAAGTCATTGCCACGCGTAATGCGGTCCTAGACCCATGCGGAATAGACCCTGACGTCCAAGCGGAGGGAGAGTGCGTCCTTTGTTAGGCCAAAAGCGGTACATCCTTAGATGCTTATAAAGCGGACTACATTATCGAGTGCGTACGTTGTGCGCGAACCTTTCCCGCATATCCCGAGTGAGGCTAAGAAGTAAACGTAGTGAGTGACGTAATACGTCTTCATACTTCCCAAAAGGGAACAAAGTGTGACTGAATTACTTCGCGTAAGGAACGTTATAGGTAAATCATCATCTACAACTGAGGAAAGAAACAGTGGAGCAAATACCTAAAAGACTATCCTATGGGATCAACCCCTGCGTTACTGACGGTCAGTAACGCCTCTTGGCCTTGATCGGGCATGTGGCGACAAATGTCCCGCCCCGATGACTCAGAAGGGCTAGCGCTACTTGCAGTCTGATCCTCCGTTCTCAATTTGATGCGGGTAGTTGGGGTAGATGAGTGCGGCAACGAAAAAGAAAAAGTGAAAGTGAATTAAGCAGTGAATTAAGCTCCGACAGCATCGGAGCTACGTATTCCCACCCGACCGGCACACGAGACAGGCGCAAGAAGACTCACTGCCAAGGACTGCGGTCGCTGAGAGTTTAGGCCTAAGAGGCAGTATATTGGCGGGTTGTCGACTACTGTCGCTAGCGCGGTAGGACCCTAATGCGGACTCTGGCGCCGCCCCTTTGAATAGCTGGCCTAAGTCGCTGACCGCATCCATCGTCGATCGACGACCGTAGGAAACAGGCGAAACACAGAAGAAGGCGACACTTGCGACGCAGAGGACCTGCTCTCCAATGCCCTGCGCACGACTCCTGAAAAGGAGGCCTCGAGTGGTGGTTGTATAACGTAACGCTAGCGTTACGCTGGTGACGCTGAGAACGCGATCGATATGCATCCTCTCCCCGGCACTGCCGCTGGCGTACGCTGGAAGCGCTACGCTAAGCTGCCGCAAAGTATAAACGCAGCCTGTCGAAATCATCGTGAAATGTGCTTACATCATAATACTTCCGTTGAGCAGCTTTCACATATCCGTCTGTTGGTGGCCTCTTATCATTCCCCACTGGCAAACAACTTTAGCTTTTACTTTTTGTCGAAACTCGAGAGTTTAGCGGTCGAATCAATTCCGACTATAACTATAAAGGATAGAAACACTGAGCCTTTGCCCATTGATTCCATGGGCCACGGTGGTCAACATCAGTCGCAAGCGGAGTAAAGCTGCGAACAGATACTGACCCTTGTCGTACACTATATCACAACTTATCTCCCACCACCAATGTTCCCTAACCACCTCTGAATTGCTTACTGGAAGTTTTCCAGTGTGCTACAACTCGTGCATTGAATTTTGTGGCTTCCTCTCTGAAGTGGCCCCTATGGTATCTTATCAGCTGTTGTCCTGCCACCCACCAATAATGTTCCCATCCTGCCCCTATCTTACTACTTGGATCCAACGTCCGGTCGTTGCTCTGGCCGGTGTTATGAATTAGGTAACCCACTCTTTCTAAGGCTCCTCGTGGTATCTTATCAGCTGCTATCACGCCCTCCCCTTCATCAATAATGTTATTTTCCCACCCTGGCCCTTATGTCATTACTTGGATACAACGTCCCGTCGTTGCTCTGCCGGTGTTGTGAATTTGGTGACCCGCCCTTTCTAAGGCCCTGATGGTATCTTATCAACTGTTATCACTTCCTGCCACCTACCAATAGTGTTCCTGCCCGACCCCCTACATCACTTATCAGTTTGAGCGCACTATCGCTCTTTTGAAGGAAGTTATGAATTTCCGGCAAACACACCTACACACACATGCACACACTAACAGACAAACTTAGCGGATTATTATAGTAGGATGTTACTCGTATGGAATTTCTGAATTTTTATAAGTGAAGTTGTAACGAAGTGAAATCATATGACCGGAAATTCATAACTTCCTTCAAAACAGCGATGTGCGCTCAAACTGATAAGTGATGTAGGGGTCGGGCAGGAACACTATTGGTAGGTGGCAGGAAGTGATAACAGCTGATAAGATGCCA